GTAAAGTTTCATCTATCGGGAAATCACGTAAATGCAACACTGATTTTTTAAGGATACTGGATAAATGAGGTGCCACTCTAGTTTAATAGCATGCCAGGTGCAACTGCACGCTTGCAAGAATACAAATTCTATCTGCATGGCATATAACAGTTTACAAAGTTCTCCAGAATTATAATATAGAGAAAATGAGAGTATATTTTCTTTAGAGAAAAATTCATTTCCAATGAGACCAAAACAAAGGAATAAGTGGACTTTACAAAAATTATCCCAAGTGCAAATAAAAAATCAAAAATAGATTAACCTTATTTTGAAGAAATAGGAAGGAAAAACTAATCACTAAAAGCTTCACTGGAGTTTTGTGGTGATAAAAATTCTTCCCAGAGAATTGATAATAATAGATACTAACATTCACAATTCCATCTTACTGCATTTAATTCCACAGCTGTTTTACTGGCAGACAACTAAACCTTCAAGCTCTTGTCTCCCACGAAGTTTGCCTTATTAACTTTTACATCATCATTTGCTGGTACTCCCCTATATATACCCTAGGCTCCAGGTAAAACAAATTTTCTGGCTCTGAAATTGTTCTTACTTTCCCACATCTGCTCTTAACCTTGACTTTCTCTCTGAATCCTATACCAAAGCTCAGGCCAAATTCTACCTACTTCATAAAGTCTTTCTTGAGATACTGTCACCTACCCTCTTCTGAAGGAGCCTCGGTGGTGCAATCGTTAAGGGCTCAGCTGCTAACCAAAAGGTCGGCGGTCAGAACCCACCAACAGCTCTGTGGGAGAAAGACCAGGCATTCTGCTTCCATAAAGATTACAGCCTAGAAAACCATACGAGGCAGTTCTACTTTGCCATATAGGGGTCAAAATGAGTCAAAATCAACTCAAAGGCACACAACAACACCCCCATCCCCAGCACAAGCAGGCTCTTCCAGTAAGACCTATGACATTTTATTGTTAACATTCTTGCCATACTTAATCCTAATCTATTTATCTTCCAGTCATCTAAAGTGGGTAGCACTGTTGCTGTTAGTTGTCAGCTGTGACTCACAGCGACCTCATGTATAACAAAACAAAACATTGCCCCATCCTGTGCCATCCTCATGATCATTGGTATGTTTGAACCCACTGTTGTAGCTACTGTGTCAATCTGTCTCACTGAGGATTTCTCTTGTTTTCACTGACCCTCTACCAGGGTAGCATTAAAAAACCAAACCAGTTGCTGGGGAGTTGATTCTAACTCACGGCAACCCCACGTCTGTCAGAGTAGAATTGCACTCCATTGGGTTTTCAATGGCTGTGACCTTTTGGAAGTAGATCACCAGGCACCTCTGAGTGGATTCAAACCACCAACCTCTCAGTTAACAGTTGATTGCTTAACGGTTTGTATGACCCAGGGGTAGCACTGTTGATGTTGTTAGTTGCGCTTGATGCACTTAAGTTGCTTCTGACTTGTGATATATTAAAACAGCACTGGGGTCAAGCATATACCAGTTCTATGACTCACTAAATCTATGACTGGCCAAGACCACAACCCCTCAGAGCCTTAGATTCTTGCTCTGCAAATGGGAATAGTTACAACTGACTTTACAAGTGCTTATATAAAACATAGAGCACAGAATAAATCAATCAATAAATGAATGCTTTCTGCCTAACGCCTCTCATCCTCAAAAAAGAAAAAACAAACAAAACCCGTGTTATAACCATCAGTCGAAATTGTCTTAACTTTCCAGATCCTCCCTGCCTCTCTGCACTGATTCCGATCTAGCCGAAGGTCAGGATGTCTGATTCTCTAGATTAACTGTCAATTAATTATGATCATTAGTTTAAGGGACACGTGGAAGGTTCCAGCTCTATCCCAGGCAGGAATGTGGAAACTCATATTCCTGTACTCACAAGAGTACATACATAAAGACATTAAAGGTAAAAGTCAACTTGCTTCTGGGCCTCCTGACAGGCAGCTCCATGTTCAGAAATCAGAACCTGTGAACGTCCACAGCATCATACAGCCAGGTACTCTGCTGAACTTCAGAGAGCAGGCCATGCTGTATCCTTAGGATAGTATTTTCAAATTATAACCAATTACTGCTCTAATAAGATTCAAATTTCAAAATTTCATCAGAGAACATGAAATTCTATTTCAACCATTTTTTCCAACAATGCAAACTGGTGTTGTTGTTACGTGCCGTCGAGTCGGTTCTGACTCATAGCGACCCTACATACTACAGAACAAAACACTGCCTGGTCCTGCGCCATCCTCACAAATTAGTACTGGGTAATAATTCAAGAAACTGAAAACAAATCTCAGAATGGGTGCTTCCTCTCACTAGATGCACCGATGTAAGACAATCAAGAGCAGGGGAAGTTCAGAGGAAATTTTCATGAGCTAATAGGTACAAAAAGAATCTCTCTCCAAGAAGTTGTATTAATTATTACCTACAATTTTCACAAATACTCCTGTTTTTAAAATATGCTTCATTAGTTATCCTTATGTACAAACAAAAAGAGAGAAAAAATAAGCATTTCTCACTCTGACAGTGGCAGGATAGTTATTGGCAAATATCATGTAAGCATTCACATTCACCCATACACGCTATGCTGAAAGAATATGGTTTGAACCTAATAAAGAACACCTATAGCTTGGAGTTTAAAAATTACAAGGTTATACATCTAAAACAGTCTTAAAAATGACTGACTGGCAGTGCCTGGGGTAACAGAGGCCGTATTTATCACTGGCCTTGTATCACTAGCACCTGCCACTTAATACATATTTGTTGACTGAACGGACATCTCAATTAAGGCTGCAATATTAATACAAAAGTCCCCAGCATAATTCCTTGCACTTTAATGTAATTTCAGAACAATCTAGTAAATAAACAGGAAACAATAAGTATCTCTTACGACAAGAAAGCAATTGTATAATAATTTTGAAATAGCTGAACATTCCACAGGCACCCTGTACTAGAAATGAAGCATTATTTCCTAAGAGCAACTATAAACAATGCAAGTCATGAGGCTGAACATCCAGTTATGGTCCCTACTTTTAGCCGACTGCACGCGGACACCTTAGCAGATTATATTATAGCACCACAATGGCAAATACTGTGAACCTGATTAAATAGTAAGTAAGGGGTTTCCTGTATGAAAATATTTCCTCCTCTTCAAAGTGGCCACCTATTGGGTTTGTAAATTAGCAGCATTTAAGAAAATGAAAACAATACACTTGGGGTAGGCTGCACGTTATCCAAAAACAGCAATCTAAAACACACTCAAGTGTTTAAATATAGGAAGCTAATGCAGTTGCCTAAGAGGTTTCAGATAATTGTTTATTTTACTATATAAACATGAGAAGGAAAGAATATAAGGCTATTTAATGGGAAAGTTTTACTGCTGATTATTGTTTTGTTAGTGGAAATCTATTGAAATATTTAAAATCATGTAAGATATTGGAATTGATTTTAATTTTTCTGAATGCCCAACATAGCTAAAATCCCATCTTTAACAGCAGTCAATTCCTGTAGCCTTATGCCATCATTAATTACATAGCAACTATGCTAATCATTTATTCTAGGTTCAAATTTCTCTGAACACTATGTAAGAAATTTTTATGTTCCATGTTAGCTTGTTATAACAACTCAATAAAACCACAGCAATTCAAAGAACTATTTTTCCACATACTGAGATGTCTAATAAAATGTGTCACTTGCAACTCAATTTTTTGTGCCCTGCTGGGTTCATTTCTTCACAGAACTTAACCAAAATGTTTGGGTGGCAGGGGGTTTCATGAATTGAGAGATTTTTCACAAGCTGCAACACTGAAGAAATAATGTTAGAATTACTCCTTTGAAGTTTAAGCATGATGATATTCCTTTGCTTTTTCCCTTACTCAGGGTTAAACCTACTACATGATACATTTAAATGCACAATGATCTCACGCTGATTCCAGATCAATTTAGGATTAAAACCAGTTTACAATTTTTGTAGAAATTTTGGAATTGGTTAACATCTCATCTCTCTGAATATCCTTCCTGTGTGGTATGCTTCTCACCAACTACTTCCTACACAGAGTTTACATGCGTGCACGTATCACACGGCACATCCTGTTCTATGGCCATTCATTCATTTATTGGCTTAAACATTCGTGCTGCACTACCTACAGAACAGAAACTAGTCAAAGCATATCTCTTGATAATTATGTTTATTACACAATCAAAAAATGCTAGAGCTGGAAAGGATACAAATGTTTATCCAACTTCCTCATTCTACTGACTAAAAGAAGGGGGGAAAAAAAAAAAAAAGCTGAGTCCCATAGGGATTGATTTATGCACGGTCACAAAGCTATTTAGCATCTGAACTAAGTCAAGACTCTTTCCCGTGATACAACTCGAGTAACCCACTTCAACTTTACCATGGCATTCTCTGACAGCCTGGAAAAGCTTAAATACATTCACCAACAATTTCCTGAGGGCAACAGCAAAGGGGTGGAGATGCTAATTATCGCTAATAATAAACCAATCCCTTATGTCAATCAGAGGCGCAACCTCCAATGAGAAAAAATGTCTTGGTAATATCACTCTTGGCAACTCCACCAACATTTGCAGGGTGGACTTGAAAACTCAGCAATAGGGACAAAGAAGGGTCTTATGTTTTCAACTAACACTTGATTTGGGATTCACTTACATGCTGTTAGGAGCCCCGGTGGTGCAGTGGTTAAAGCCCTCGGCTGCTAACTGAAAGGTTGGTGGTTTGAACCTACTAGCTGCTCCATGAGAGAAAGATGTGTCATCTGCTTCCATAAAGATTTATAGCCTTGGAAACCCTATGGGGCAGTTCTACTCTGTTCTTTAGGGTGACTATGAGTTGGAATTGACTCAATGGCAGTGGGTTTTGGTACATGCTGCTAGATATTCAGCAGGTGCTCCACATAGCTGGCTGCGGGTTTCAGGGTCAGTTGCTCATAGCCACCATTAACACCTAGTCACTGCAACCTACCTCCTTGGCCATGTCTGTGTACTTCTGCTTTTCCTTTGGATCAAGAACAGCCCACCAATCAGCTAGTATCTTGGTAGCACCTCGGTTATCAAGCCTGGGGTGTTCCTGACGTACAAGGGAGCGATGGCGTTTGCAAAATAAGAGAAATGCATTCATTGGTCTCCGGGCTCGCTGTTCTGGTGATTCATCATCTTCAGTCTCACCAACATCTTGCTCTAGGCCATCGGCCCCAAGAAGTTGAACCTATTAACAATCAAAGCGAGAGCCAAATGTTTAATACACCTTGGACAATTTTGCTTTAACAATTAGTCTTGACTTACAAATTGCAATTTTTTTCCTAGCCCCATTTAAAAACTTATAAATCAAAAAAAAGAAAATATTTCAACCACTTAGAGTGGTCGGTAAATAACTTATGATGTATCCTCCTGCTTAGTTTCTACAGCAAAATGTGCATGTCTCTATTATAGCATATATTACTTTGTCTTATAATTGTTTACATTTTTCGGCTCTTATTAAACAGTGAGCTCTTTGAGGACAAAAGTTCTCTCATTTACTCTTGCAACCACAGTGCCTAGCTCAATGTCTGGCACAACATTAGTACTCAACTAATTATTGAATGAATGAATAAACCCAGTCATTCTGGGTTTATTAATATGGATTCTCACTATTAACAACATCGACATAAAAGTTCTGTCTTTCTATTCAGAAGTACTTTCTACAGCTAATAATATGAAAATGTTTAACATAAAAAGCAGATAATGAAAAGCTAATAAAAACTACTCTGTTTTTGCACAGATCAAAAGTGGAGCTCCTACTGTAAAAATCAAAATACCTAGTTAACATGATTATTTGAAAGAAGAATTACATTCTAAATTTTCACGCTTGTAAATATGAAACTTTCTTGTCTAGGGAAGTGCTATGATGATAGGAATAAACTTACCTAGGCTTCAACCTTCAAAATCAGTTTTGAATCCTCCCTTTTCCTAAGTACTTCATTCAATCAGTCGTCAAGGTCTGCTGACTTCTGCAAAGCTTTGCTCCTGTCCATCCCATCTGTTTCATTCCGACCGCCACCTCGGCCTAGCCATCCTGCTTTAATCTGCTCTACAACACTCCCTGCACATAGCTGCCAGAACACTTTTCTTAAAGCGCATTTCTGATCACAGACTCCCAAAAGTTTTAGGATTGTTAAATACCTTCTAAAGCTAAAATGTGATTCTATGATGCTTCTTGGGAACAATGTGAACCATGAGCAGAAGTCCAGAGTGCTTACTAAAATCGTTTCTTTAATTTCTAGTTTCAGAGTTAAAATTAAGAAGGCTCGGGGTAGCTGTTGGTCTGCATTATACACCAGGGCAGTGATTCTCACGCTAGAGTGTGAATCAGAATCCCTGAAAGGCTTGTTAAAACACAGATTACTGGACTCCGTTCCCAGAGTTTCTGATACTGGAGGGCTGAGTGGGCCTTGAGAGTCTGCGTTTCTAACAAGTTTATGATTTCTCGTAAGGTGATGCTGATGCTGCTAGCCTGAGGACCACACTTTGAAAATCACTTCTAGGGGGCAACCATCTTCTTTTCTACAGTATTTATTGGGGCAGCTGGTAAAACAGACATTCTGGGACAAATCACTAGCTTAATCCAATTTGGCATTTTTTAAAAGTCTTTTAAGTTTAAATAAGTATTGCAAATGCATTTAATTAACCATCAATTATCTTCAAACACAAGCAGTACAGAAAAATTTCAAAGTCATAGCTATCTGATTTGGAAATACATTACGGATCATTACTGGGAGTGAAGACTACGTATGTATTTTCCTCATTATGTATACAATCATTAACAATGATTTGCAATTTCAAGAGATATTTACTTAGCATTCTGAAGCTGACTCAAAAGCTAAGAAGGAAGTATCAGAAATAAAAAATTTATTATGTAGATTGAGGAAGTAATTATATTTTCCCTTCTGAAAAGAATAATTCTTTTGATTCTGTTACTAAATTATAAAATTCAAGCCAAGAGTTGGGATCAAGAGATAAATAAGACAAGATCCTGGCCCAGGGAGCTGGCTGCGTTGAGAGGGAAGAAAGACATGGAAGCAAATAAACTACAAAGCAGTGCGATGGCAGCAACAAGGAACCAGTGAGATAGCGAAGAACCACTGAAGGGGAAGAGGCACAGGGACGTCTCCCTAGAGGAGGTGTTGTCTGAGCTTAATTTTGACAGAGGAATCAGAAGGTACCAAGCAGTAAAATGGAGAGAATTGGGAACTGGCAGGGATGAAGGCTCAATGGTTTATTTGAACAACTGCACGTAGTTCAACAGCACAGGTAGGTAAAACGTGAGGACAGGGATTTGGGAGATGACGCTGTAGAAGAAGGTAAGAACCACCTCATGAAGGATATACTCTGCCACGTCAAAAATCACACACTTAATCCTGTAAACCAGTGGTTTCAGACTTTTTGGAACCAATCAAAACTGTTGGGGGGATTAACACAGACTGTCAACTTTTTATTGTGCTAAGCATGGGCATTAATAAATTTTAATAAGGAATCTACCATCTAATATTACAATTATTTCATTAAATTCATTCACCAAAAAGGTGAATAAATAAATATATGAATAAAGAACAAGTAAGATAAACTAGAGAAAAGTTACAAGTCTATTCTAGCTGTCCAGGCAAGAAAGGAAGAGCCCTGAAAAAAGGCAATAGCAATGGGAATGGAGAAGTGGGAAAAAAGACAGTATTTATTTATGAGGTAGAACCTAAGTGAGTGGTATTTAACTGGATCTGAAGGCTGGAACGGGGAGAGTGTTTCTAGCTTGGGAAGCAGATTCTTTCACACAAAACAGAAAACTTTTTCTCAACTAAGAGAAATTAGATCTGGTGAAGAGCAGAAAGATTAGTGTTGGGCAGGCTGAACGCAAAGTGGTTGGAGACCCCGGGTGGTGCAAATAGTTAATGTGCTCAGCTGCTAACTGAAAGGCTTGAGGTTCAAGTCTACTCAGACGTCAGCTTTTTTCAGAAAAGTCAGCCACTGAAAACAGTACAGAGCACATTCTACTCTGACACACGTGGGTTGCCAAGAGTTGAAATTGACTTGACAGCAACTGGTAGGGCACCTACTATGGACCAGACATTGTTCTAGGTGATGAGGGTACAGCAGTGAGTCCCTGCCCTCATGAAGCAGAGGGTGGGCACTGGCCTTACATTTCTGAGAGAACCCCTTGGCTCCTTTGTTGAGAACAGACCATAGAGAGGCAAGGGCAGAGGCAGGGAGACAAACAGGAAGCAATGATCCACGTCAGAAACGGTGGTGGTTTGGATCAAGGTGGCAGTGGTGGAGTTAAGAAGGAGTCAAATGGAAGGGGTCCTATTTTGAAAGCATAGCTGACAGATTTGCTGATAGATGTATATGAGGCTGCAGTGAAAGAAAGAAGTGAAGTATGACTACAAAGTTTCAGGTCTGACTAACTGGAATGTTAAAGAGTTGCTATTTACTATGAAAAGGAAGATGCAAGAGGAGATAATCAAAATTATCTTATTTTTTTTAATTGTTGTAAAAATATAGATAATAACACAACAACATTTGCCAATTCAATACTTCTCATGCGTACAACTCGGTGAGACCAATTGTATTAATCATGTTGTGCAACCATCACCAATATCCATCACCATATTTTCCATCACCAAAAACAGAAACTCACTGGAAAAGCTTAGTTTTGAACACATTAAAACTGAGGTTCTTATTAGCTATCTAAGTGGACATGTCAAGTATGTAGTCAGATATACAAATCCAGAATTCAGGAGACAGGTCCAGGATGGAGACATAAATTAAGATTAGGGGCCCAAAGTGGAATGCTTAATTAACTGAAAGAAACTAAGAAGGAAGACTTGGGAAGGCAGGAATAGAACCAGGAGTGAGTGCTGTCATGGAACTAGGAGACAGCCTCAAAAACCAAGGATCAACAGGTGTAAATGTATCAGAAAGATCAAAGTAAGTATTAACTGGGCAATTTCCTTGAGTAAAAGGAGTGAGATAGGAAAGAAGGAGAAAAACTTGGGTAGGGAGTGTGGTAAGCTGTGTGTGTGGATGAGTAGAGAAAGCTGTAAGGAGTTCATTTCTGGTGGCCTCTATCATCTCTGCGAAAGAGAATAAAAGGTCACCAATAAGAGAGATCGTCAAGGGAATCCAGAGAGGATGTCTGAGACAAGTGGAAGAGGCAGCTGACCAAATCATGAAAAAGACTGACATGGGTAGTGAAAGGCCTGGAGAATATGAAAAACATACATCTGTAAAGTTTGTATTCATTTATTCCTTCATTCAGCAAGTTATCTATGTGCCAAGTTCCATTCTAGGTTCTGGAAAAAGAGGAGATGACACAGAGGTAAGAAGGATCTTATTCTTATTGAGCTTATATTCTAGTCTGGGAAGACAGACATAAAGAAGTAAACAGCTAAATGCATGGCAAAGAGTAGTAAGTGCTCTGAAGGCAGTCCTTTGAAATGGAATGAGCTGGGTGTTGGGACATTTCAGAGATGGTTAGGGCCAGTCCCTCTGGGGGGCAGGGGGAGGTAGGGCCCTTGTGCTGGGACCTCAATGATGAAGAGGAGCCAGCCAGGCTGGAGGAACGTGTGACTTTCTGAAATCGCAGGCTTGGTGGTTCGTCTTTCTAAACAGAGTGGCTGCTCAGCTGTGAAGTCAGAGCAGGGAACCTGGAAGACTGACTGATCACAGAGGCTTGGTGGGGTGAGGGGAGCCAGATGCTAGGAAGGCCACGGGGATGAAGACTAAGAGCAGTTCTGAGACTGCCTGTGGTGGCAGGGCTGGGCTAGAAGCTAAGGAAGAGTCCAGAGGATTAGCGGGGTGGGTGCCAGGCAAGCACACCACATTTTATTTGAATATTACTTGAAAATTATTAATTAATTGACAGAAATCCTATTTAAGAAGGATCTGTTTTAGTCTAAACTGTTAGGAGGTACAGATAGTTTAAGAATAATCAGTAATTAGAATTAAAATGTAAGTTAAATAGTTAAATAGGATTCAAATCATACAGATGTCAGAAATGCATCTCTCCTGGGCTTTGAATCAGTTTGTACTTCTAACAAGTTCCCAGGCAATGCTAAAGCTGCTGGTTAGGCCCCGATCTGAGAACGACTAGTACAGCAGTGGTTTTCTCAAAAATTTTTATACATAAGAATTACCTGGGGATCTTGTTAAACTGTAGATTCTGATTCAGTATATCTGGGGTGGAAATGAAAACTCTCAGCAGGGGTTTGAACCAGTGTGAAGCCTGCTCCTACAGTACACGCTCACTGCAGTGTCTAGTATATTGTGAGTGCACGAATGAACTTTCACATTCTACCATAAATGGAGGACGTACCTTATCAATATCCTCCTCTTCGTCTTCCTCTTCCTCCTCTTCTGAAAAGTCAAGAAGTTTCTTTGCTAGCAATGGATGCCACTGCAGACACTTTCGTTTTGGTCGTTTTCCAGCCCCTTCTCCTTCTGCTGAATGATCTTTATTTCTATTATTGCCTTTCATTACTGTGACCTGTGGTGGGGGGAAAAAAAAAGAGAAGCAGAGGGAAATCAAAGTAAATTTGACTAAAATTAGTTTATTTAGCTCCCTTAGCTTTAATTGGATTATAGTTTTAATGACTAAACTATCTACCAGCTCAGACATTTACCGGATTCAGTGAGAATCTTAAATACGTAATCAAACATTCATTTTAGTGGGCTAAATTGAGTTAATAAAATTTGCCTTTTATGAAATCTACTTCCTTCCACATTGTAACTCCAAAACTTAAAACCCAAATAAAGCTTTAGGATAATTACAAGTTACCTTCAACTGTTCATATTTACTCAGGGCAGTGTTTCTCAAGTTTTCCACCAGAGAAGCATGAAAAATGCTTCCCAAGGTGCAGGTGCTGTCAGAAATGGCCTCCATATGTAAAACAGGAGATGGCTCCTATTTTACTATAACTTACATTAATTTTATATTCTACACTATAATAAATCCATGCTCATAAAATTATTAAAATTAATAATTTGTAAGAATCAATGTTTTGGATTTAAAATAAAACTACTTCATAAGATGACACACTTTTTTCAAGTCAGCTGTATGCATCCTGCAAGGACTCACTGGAGCAGCACACTGGAGGTCACCTGGGGGAGTGAGCCCCTCTGGGCCCCTGGGACACAATGGATCACAAACACCTTCACCTCTCGCCACTATGTATGCATAACAATGTGGTAAAATAATTTGCTCTCTAGAATTCTTTTTCCTCTAATGGGTGATTGGCTGAAACAGTCAAGCCTTCGCCAGGGCATGGGTATGCATGTGACAAAATCTTTTAGAAGCCTCAAATTCCAAATTACTTTTATTGACATAAAGAGTTTTTTTTTGATGATAAAAGCAACACCATTTCCTATTATAAAAGTGAAAACAGTCTAGAAGGTTATAAACTAAAAAGAGGTTTGCCTCTTTCATCACGCCCAGCCTTGCAGCACAGAGGTAACCACAAATGTCAGTTTCTTATGTCTTCTCACAACTTTTTTCTGATTTACTTCTCATTCATTCATTTGAAGTACCATTAATATATAAATTACTGTTTATACATACAAATGTAAAAATTCAAACAATACAGTTAAATACTATCAATTTCAATGGTACATGAATACCGATGCCATTACCAACACAAACATGGTTGCTGAAATCACTGGGTAGCGGCCTCTTGGTCAGTATATGTGTGTATTGTTCCAAATGCTGGCAAAGTTTATACCATTAAACTTTTAATGCTATGTTGCTGAAACTGGGGTCCATGAACATGTATTTTCAAGAATCATCCAGTTCTCAAGTCTTTGAAACAATATGCCTTAGGCAAATTTATCCAACTACCTGAATAGTTTCTGGATTTTGGATCATGCTTAGGTCTTCCTCACACCAAAATTTAAAAAATACTAATATTTTCTCCTAGAACATGTATGATTTAATTTAAAAAATTAAATATTTTATAAATCTGGAATCCACTCTCAAAAAAGGAGTGAAGTAGGAAATCTAGCTTATTCTTCTCTTCCAAATAGCTAGCAACTGTCCCAATATCATTTATTAAATAACCCAGCTTTCTCCCATTGCTTTGAAATGTCACTTTTATCCTACACTAACGTGTCATATATGCATGAGTCTATAGCTGGATTCTGTTCTGCTAATAATCTTCCCGCTTGACCAATTTCAGTGTCCTTAGGAATTATATCATTCTACATCTTCTAAAATATATAAACATATTAGTACACATAGCCCTTAAAATACATTTTAAATTCCATATATCATGCTCTTCTCTCTAGGTCAATACACTTTGATCACTCACATTTTTAAATAATATGTAATATTAAAAATCATTTCACTATTAATGAACATTTGGATTATTTCTTGTACTGCAATTAAAATCCACATTTTAATAAAATCTTCTTTTTGATAAAAATCATCATAAATTTATTAAAAGCTATACCTAGTCAAAAAAGAAAAAAAGGAGGAAGAAAAGAAAAACATGTTCCTGTGGATTTCTTAGCAAGAAACTTCTGCTGAATATCTGAAGCAACTACATGACTCACGTGGCTGCCTCAAGAGTACAAGAAGTTACTGAAAACTCTAAACGGAATTAGGTATCTGGTGTGCTCTTAACAAAAATACAAAGATTTCCCATGAACCGATAGACCGTTTAACAATTGCCATTCTACCTACAAACAAAACGTGGCACAGGTAACCCAATTCCAGAAATACCAATGCTATACACAGAGAGAAGAGGAAATGCGTATTTTCATAGCTTAGGATGAGTGCCCTGAGTGGTAATTAAACCCATACTGGGGGCCCAATGTTTTACAGTAACACATTTTTTAAATAGTAAGAGAAATCAGTGGAAAACTACTAATCAGGCAGCTGTTAATAACTGGAGGAGGGCAAGTGACTGCCAGTGCTGAGAGGAAAATACATCATTTAGCCCCAAAGATTCTGACTATACTATTTAATTATGTGTGTATAATTGTGTATACATGTATAATTGTGTATACATGTATAATTTCAATACTCAAATAAAAATAGAGTATCAAGAATCAAATTAATGGGTGATGTATATGGCTTTTGAGTTCCAAATAATCATGTTCATACCTGACTACTATAATTCTTTCCATGTAGCCAATATACCACTTCAGATAGTACGTCTTTTCTAATACTAGCAAAATTAATCTCCTCCCCTGAAATACACTAATAAGACTTTGTATTGCTAATGCACTTACCACACTTTCTCTTGTATTACAATTATTTGTGTACATCCTACCTCCCTCACTAGGCCATTTCCTTGATGGCCCAAGACTTTATTTTTATACTCTCAGAAGCATTCTGGCACACCATAACATCAAGATCATTTGTGAAGGATATCACAATCAGCCATATAAACCCTCGCACTGAACTGTGGCAGTGATTCATTATTTTTGTATACCGGAGTGGTTTCAAAGTCAACCATACCACCTCTCAACCCCTTGAATCCAGATACCCTTTCCTGAGTGGAGAAAAAGAGGGGCTAAAAATTATGTATAACTCTGATATACAGACCAAGGTGGTGTGTGGTGTGTAAGAACCACCAGCCACATGGGCTGGGGGAGAAAGAAGTTTGATAACTCCTAGCACCATGCCTGGTATAAAGCAGGTACAAAATAAACATTTTTAGCATGAATGAAAAGATGAATAAATGAATAACTGGATATAGTACACCTTGGCAAAACAGTCAAAAAAAATATAATTGATCTAATTGACTACAAAATACCTCAAACTATAAACTGGAAGTTTAATAACTTATATCTATTTAATTACCCTTTAATTCCTTATGGATACATTTTTAAATTGTTGAAAGAAGGCAAAACTGCGGGAGGCAGTGATGCCCTGATTATCATTCAGAAGTAGCTAGAAGGCAAGAGAGAAAAATGAAAGAAAAGGTGACCAAAAAAAGGAAAAGGAAAAGAAAAGATGAGAGCAAAGAAAGCGGAATTCTGAGAAAACTCTATTACTAATCTTATTTATACAACAAGGAGGAGGAAAAATTGACAAAACTGACTAAAGATCAATCTTGTAATTATTCTGCAACTAAAGCCCCCACACATCTAAAGTTTACTTATCGTTCGTGAATAAGAGCAAATTAAGCTAACAATCTATATGTAATAAACGAAGCAGTAAGTGGACTTTATTTCAAAAAGGGTCATTATTCATTCTGCATTAAAGATGCTAAAATAACTGTTGTTGTTAGCTGTCGTCCAGTCAATACTGACTCATAGTGACCCTATGTACGAGAGAACAAAACACTGCCCAGTCCTGCATCATTCTCACAATCACTGTTATGTTTGAGCCCACTGCTGCAGCCACTGTGTCAATCCATCTTGTCGAAGGTCTTCCTATCTTTCGCTGACCTTCTACTTTACCAAGCATGATGTACTTCTCCAGGAACTGGTCCCTTCTTATAACATGTCCAAAGTATGTGAGACAAAGTCTCATCATTCTCGCTTCTAAGGAGCATTCTGGCTGTACTTCTTCCAAGGCAGATTTGTTCATTCTTCTGGTAGTCCATGGTATATTCAATATTCTTTGCCAACACCATAATCCAAATGCATCAATTCTTCTTCAGTCTTCCTTATTCACTGTCCAGCTTTCGCACGCATATGAGGCAACTGAAAATACCATGGCTTGGGTCAGGTGCACCTTAGTCCTCAAAGTGACATCTCTGCTTTTTAACACTATTTAAAGAGGTCTTTTGCACCAGATTTGCCCAATGCAATCTGATGTTTGATTTCTTGACTGCTGCTTCCATAGGTGTTGCTTGTGGATCCAAGTAAAATGAAATCCTTGACAACTTATTTTCTCTCTTTATCATGATGTTGCTTATTGGTCCAGTTGTGAAGATTTTTGTTTTCTTTATATTGAAGTGAAATCCACACTAAGGCTATAGTCTTCGATCTTCATCAGTGAAGTCTTCACTTTCAGCAAGCACAGTTGTGTCATCTGCATATCGCAGGTTGTTAATGAGTCTTCCTCCAATCCTGAGGCTGAGATCTTCATATAGACCAGTTTCTCGGATTATTTACTCAGCATACAAACTGAATAAGTATGTTGAAAGGATACAACCCCGACACAGGCCTTTTCTAATTTTAAATCACACGGTAGCCTCTTGTTCTATTCGAACAACTGCCTCTTTGGTCTAAGTACAGAATGAGCACAATTAAGTGTTCTGGAATTCCCATTCTTCGCAATGTTATCCGTAATCTGTTATGATCTACACAGTTGAATGCCTTTGTATAGTCAATAAAATATCTTTCTGGTATTCTCTGCTTTCAGCCAAGATCCATCTGACATCAGCAATAATATCCCTCGTTCCACGTTCACTTCTGAATCCACCTTGATGTTCTGGCAGTTCCCCGTATGTACTGCTGCGACTGTTTTTGAATTATCTTCAGCAAAACTGTACTTGTGTGTGATATTAATGATATTGTTTGATAACTTCCTCTTTC